AGAGGATCACCAAATGAGGCTATGTCAAAAGACAGAGCCACGTCTCGGAAAACAGCTATCCGACCTCATTTTATACGGGGGTCTACGGGGAATTTTTGGTCGAGCGTACGGGCTCGGATACCCCACATTTGATTCGACCTTGTGCCACATCTGACCGCGTGGGGTGGTTGGTAAATATCCCGCAGTTGGGCATTCGTCTCCAGCTTTGCTGGTCAAACTCTCTGCCTCCGGGCAACGAGGATCCCCAGATGAGGCTATGTCCAAGGGTAGAGTATCGGCTCGGGAAACAGCTACCAGACCCCGTTTTATACGGGGGGGTCTACGTGGAATTTTTGACCGAGCCTACAGGCTCGGATACCACACATTAAATTCAGCTTTGTGCTACATCAGATCGCGTGGGGCGGTTGTTAGACATCCTGCAGTTGGCGATTCATTGAGGAATTCACTTGAATCACTTCAAGCAGTTGACTACTTATACGCGCCGCTGGCGAATCTTATATGTGTTGTTCTTGCCCTTGGTTCATTAACAACCTTCGTGTGATTATTCTGTTCGGTAACCTTCCCTAGGTTACAATAATTATTATTCAGTTGTTAATTACACGGATTGATATATTTTCACTTTATAAGCGATTTTAGGGTGAACTTTTTATATATTAATTATTAAATAAGACTGAGATCCGCTCGTACGCCTGGCCATGGAAAACACATTCTGTAGGCTCTCAGAGATGATCCAGGTATCAGGATAAGTAGAGTGGCTCTAGCATGTCGTACATCCCATAGTACCGCATGGAGGGTACTTCAAGATCAGCTTCTGTATTCGTTTCATTTGCAACGTATACAGGGTTTTTCGCCCTGTGATGCCTTACCACAGGAGAACATTTGCCGATGGTTTATTGCTCAAACGGCTGATCCTTTGTTTGTCTCTTCAGTCTCGCTTACGGATGCGCAGATTGAAACCCATGGTACAATACAGGATGTTTGCAATAATTAACAGACTCTTTTAGGGGTTTGCTTATTCTTAGCGCTCATCACATATAACTTTATCTTATCGAAGCGCCCGGAAATATAAAATATTTCGACAGTTTTTACACCATTTGTCCACAAAATAAAGCTCTTGTTCGAACACAATAAACATTAAACAAAAAGCTTAACCGTAGTACCTTGTCTGTCGCTTTTAATGAAACATGCATTTTAGGATTGCTGCATAAATATGCAACTATCAAATATATATATATATATATATATATATATATATATATATATATATTTAGGGGCAATCTTTCTTTATAGATTCGTTTTCATTAATATATATATATATATATATATATATAATATATGATAGTTGTATATTTAGGCATCAATAATTCCTTTATACATGTTTCATTAAAAACGACAGACAAGGTACTACGGTTAAGCTTTTTATTAAATTTTTCTTGTGTTCGAACAAGAAATTTATTTTCTGGGAAAATGTGTGCAAGAACTGTAAAAATGTTTTGTATTTCAATTCAATTTAGACAATTTTTGCCGGTTTTTTTTTTTTCCAAAAAAAAGAAATTAAAAACACAAGAAAAAATTAAATAAAAAGCTTAACTGTAGTACCTAAATTTTCGTTTATAATGTTTATATATATATATATATATATATATATATATATATATATATATATATATATATATATATGAAGAAGACATTTTATGTTTATACATTCTTTTTGTAGATGCAAATATTTAAGTAGATGCTCTGTTTATAATAAAACAGTATTAAACAACATTTACCGGCCTGAATGTCCGAGAAAATTTTCACAGAAAATATGCATCCTCCGTCTGTAAAAATATATGCATGTTTCATTATAAACGACATTTATTTAATTTTTCTTGTGTTCTGACAAGAGCTTTTTTTCTGGGAAAAAAAAACCGCGCAAGAAATGTCTTAAAATAATTGTCGGACTTTGTCCATTTCATTATATATATATATATATATATATATATATATATGTTGTCGTGTCTCTTAACCTAAACTGGATGTTGACTGCTTGATGACCTAAGGCAGAATGCGAAAACACGTCTCTGCGCATCATCTCTCGACGCATGTTTTCGGTATTAAATAAAAAAAATAACTTTATATATTGGCCAGTAGAAATAACTCCCGCTAAAAGAAACAGACTGTGATTTTGGAGCCTATACGTTGGATACAAATTCCTTGATTCAACGCCGCAGAAGACAGAGAGAAAGACCCGACTGAGATGTCGACACGTAGATGTTGGTCGAGAACGCAGCAGGCAGACTGAACGAGATACTTTTCAACTTTCATCCTTCACCGCCGCCGTCATCACAAAACATCAGCCGACAGCCATGACCAACATTATTTCTCTTTCTTTCATTTTTTCCTTCTTCTCTGTCGCCTCTTACAACAGCAACGAGTCGCACGCTGCCTTTGCACATATGTAAATAAATTATACATTTATTTACCCAAAATACGATGTATTACTTTTTCCCAATTTACGTTTCCTGAGGCGAAGAAGAAATTAACATATTCAGCAAAAACAACAGCATTCCCGGTTACTCATTCTTCTTTTCTGCAACAATATATATATATATATATATATATATATATATATATATATTACAATAAACGTGCAATCAATTTACAAATTCATGAATTATTCACACAAAAAACAAATGCAAAGGTTAATGATTTAATTGGCGAGAAATCCATCGTCGCAAACAATTCAAATAATATACAAAAACCTCCGAATCCGTTATGAATGAAATGATCCTTGTTTCTATAAATTTCTGCCGTATTAGTTCTTATTTTTACTACAAGCTTTCGTCTGTTCCTACAGACATCTTCAGGTATGGAATAGATGTTGTTCTTGTTTTTTCTCTTAGTAATAAGAGGACAACGAAAATATATGTATTGTTGTATCCGAAAATGCTATTGGAAATGAGTTATTGTTTTTGGAGCGTATCAAATGTAAACAAATGATGTCACACTTTATGAAATGGACAAAGTCCGACAATTATTTTAAGACATTTTTATGTTTGTACATTCTTTTTATAGAAAATGTCTTAAATTATTTGTCGGACTTTTCCATTTTTTAATAATAACGTCATATATATATATATATATATATATATATATATATATATATATATATATATATATATATATATCATCTGAAACACACATGGATCTATGCATGGATAATATACATAAGGAACTCCTTCACGCAACAACCCAAATGATAAAATAGTTATCACAATTATTGCATTTAGTGTATTTGTTTTAAATATATATATTTTTCTCTTTGTTTTTCTGTTTTGTTTTTTTTTTGTTTTTTTTTTTTTTAACGTCACATCTCCTTACAGAAATAACGACTCCATGTTGTCTCGTGCGAGCGTCTTGAGCCATTAGTCTTTTCACCTAAAGGCCACCTGTCTTGAATGCAAAACTGCCTCACTCTTTTTTTGACCCATCTCCAACCCGGAAACAATCGCGTTCTCTGCTTGAATCTCGTTTTCTGCGTCATTCTCGTTCTTTGCGAGATTGGTTTTTTTCATTCTTTTTTTTTCATTTTATTTTTCTGCTAATTATAAGTACCAAGCTTTAAATTTATTATATATATATATATATATATATATATATATATATATATATATATATATATATATATATATATATATATATATATATATATATATATATATATATATATATATATATATATAAATTAATTGATTTAAAATATGGTACATTGAGCACTATTTTGTAAAAATAAAAATATCTATAAGAACACCGGATTATATATCTTACTGTTCTTTCTTTTTTTATTTATTTACATACATACATATATATATATATATATATATATATATATATATATATATATATATATATATATATCTCTTTTATCCTCTTTTATCTTTCTTTCTCTTTTTTCTATCTCTCCGTTTGCCTTTCTCTCTCTATATATATATATATATATTTCTGCGTCTATATGTTTTTTTTTTCTTTTTCTATATATATTTCTCTCTCTTTCTTGCTCCATTTTTCTCTTTATATATATATATATATATATATATATTCTCTCTCTATTTCTCTCGCACTATATTTTTCTCTCTATATAAATTACTCTCTCTCTCTATTCCTCACTTTCTCTCTCTCTCTCTCTATTTATCTTTCTATCTCTCTCTTTTTCTCTATATATTATCTCTATATGTGTGTGTGTGTGTGCTTCCGTCTTTCTGTATTTCTCTCTATATATATATTATCTCTTTATCTCTCCCTTTCTTTCCCACTCTATTTCTCTATATATTTCTCTCTATATTTCTCTCTCTTTATTCCTCTCTCTATCCCTTTCTTTCTCTATCTATATCTCTCTTTATCTCTCTCTGTTTCTCTATATATTATCCCCCTCTATATATATATATATGTTTCCCTTTTTCTCTCTATATGTCTCTCTTTCCTTCTCAATCTATTTCTATATCTATTTTTCTCTCTATCTTTCTCTATTTCTCTCTATATATACCCCATATACTCCCCATATCTGTCCCTCTCTCTATTTTCTCTCTCTATATATTATTCCTCTCTTTATATATTTCTCTCCCTATCTCTCTCTATATCGCTATCCCCCCCTCTCTCTCTCTCTCCCTCTTTCTCTTCCCTGTACTTGATATTTCTGTCACGCTCTCTTTTTTCCCCTTTTTGCCATTATATTTTGGGGATGCTTGACCAATTATTAACACATTTAGAACTATTGATGAATTTTTCGACTTATCAATGTTGGCATAGCAGCACAAGGGACAAGAAAGAAGTGGGTAAAAAAAAGTGGATTAGAGAAATATATTGGAATCGGCTCTCCAGGAAGAAAAGTTTCTTATAATATGATATTCGGACAGCAATTGTCAAGGAAAATAGCCCCCGCCCCACGCGAAAATATGACACATTGGAATGGAGCCTTCTAGATTTACAATCTACCCTGATCTGAGTTTCAACTTTTTATGCATATGCAAGAAAATATAAATGGATCTCAGTCAGACATTGTTGGCTTCGTTATTTCTTTCTTTCTTTCTTTCTTTCTTTCTTTTTTCTTTCTTTCCAATCTATTCTTTCCAGTGTATTTCCATTTCAAATCTGATCAATATTTTAAGTTTATCTTTTCTTTCTTTCTTTCTTTCTTTGTTTCTTTCTTTCTTTCTTTCTTTCTTTCTTTTCAGTTTATTCCATTTCAGTTCTGATATATATTTTAAATTTATGTTTTCTTTCTTTCTTTCTTTCTTTCTTTCTTTCTTTCTTTCTTTCTTTCTTTCTAACCTTAATTTTTTTTTTTTTTCTATACACGCTCTTACATATATCTATATCTGTGTGTGTGTGTGTACCATTGGGAAAGGTGTGAATCCTCTTCTTCCCCCTCCAGCTGTGTAAATAGCAGGACAGACTGGGTTCTATAGCCTTGGATAGCAACTAGACTAGGAGAAGGACAACTCTGAATTAAAAACCTGCGGAGGGTCGTTTGGGGACCTTGTGGCACGTCGTGCACCAGGTCTCTGTATTCAGCCCTTCAAAAAGTGTGGATGGTCCTGCACGAAACCTTCACCACTATAATCAAATCTCATGTGCCGGTGTCGGGCTGTCGGTTTCCTAAACTGATCTGAACCAGTTTAATACGTCGACAGGAGAGTCATATATATATATATATATATATATATATATATATATATATATATATATATATATATATATCATATTCATTGATTCAAAGTTTGTTAAGTTGGTGAATGCTGCCATAATCTTTTGAACATTTCATCCTTGGTGTTACAAAGAAATTTTGGCTTTCTCGCTCAATTGGGTTCCACCCATAATAATCAATCGGGTTGAAGTTTCGGGTGTCCAGATACAAATTTTGACATTGTGGCAAAAAATGTCCAAAATTATATGACTGTGTTCTCCTGTTTGTATGGCATAGTGCAGAGCTCTGTTGCCAGACATAGGGTCTTCAAACTGCCGCCTACTTAGCAGCACTACCTCCCAAAGCATTGATGTAGTCCACCGTTTTTAGTCTGAGTCCCTGTGGAAGATGAATGGAGGGATAACGTCGCCATTACTAGTGATAACTTCAGACACCTTCGTAATCATCCACCTCTTTCCAAATCCTCTCTACTGTCCTCAGATAGACAAGCAAACACTCTGAAATGTTCGTATTGGAACTTCCGGTGCAGTACATCATTTCGTTTGAAAATTTATAATAAAATACAATTGCCTCATGGGACTTTTTTTTTCTTTTAACGGTTTTAAACTGATCCTATTATACTGTACAGACGACAAAATCAAAATCGAACAACGCGCATGCGCGAAATAAAAAATACAAATTGGCCACAATGCACCCTATATATATATATATATATTAAGGCATTTTTTTGTTTATGCGTTCTTTTTATAGATACAAATATTCAAGTATAATAAACAGGATCAACAACATTTACCGGCCTGAATGTCCGAGAAATTTTCATAGAAAATATGCGTCTTCCGACAGGAATCGAACCTGTATCCTATACGAAACCGTCATATGGCCTGACGTGCTTTACCGATTGAGCCAGAGAGGAGCGTTTCGGTTTGCAAGGTCGATTTTTCTGTTTTTAAACTACAATTCTCCATCTGTTTTTTCTCCAACACCCAGGAAACCAAACTGAGGTTCATAGCATGACTAGAGACGTAACCTAATCCTTGTTGCAGACTCCTGCTCTGGCACATTTGTTTTTCTCCAACACCCTGGAAGTCAAACTAATGTTCATAGTATGACTAGGGTCGGTCGTAACCTAATCCTTGTTGCGGACTCCTGCTCTGGCACATTTGTTTTTCTCCAACACCCTGGAAGTCAAATTAATGTTCATAGTATGACTAGGGTCGGTCGTAACCTAATCCTTGTTGCAGGCTCCTGCTCTGGCACATTTGTTTTTCTCCAACACCCAGGAAGCCAAACTGAGGTTCATAGTATGACTAGGGTCATAACCTAATCCTTGTTGCAGACTCCTGCTTTGGCACATTTGTTTTTTTCTCTCACACCCAGGAAGCCAACCAGGGATTCCTAGTGAAATTTTGTTGAGTTCTTTTTTTATGTGCAGTGTCCTTACAGGACGTAGGTAATCATGGCTATACACATCCCCCTATCCTTTGTAGCTTTCAATAAGTCCCTCGGCCAACTCTCACAGACCACGTTCTGACATCCACTTGCTTAAGTCTGACAGGTATGTCATGCTTTGCTTTCACTTGTCTCTCTTTCCCTCTGTTCGACTCGTGAATATCAGATTCTCCAGGCCCTCCTTCCTCATTATGCGTCCCAGAAACTTCAGCTGCCTCTTCCCGATATTAAGTATAAGCTTGTTTGCAACCTCTCTAAGATCACATCGTTGCTCACCTGTTCGGTTCATGATATACTTTGCATCCTTCTCTAGAAATATATCTCCGTCACCTCGAGTACCTTCTTCATCTTTGAGGAGGCCGTCAAACCTTCGCTGCCGTATAGAAGGACAGACGTCACGTAGGTTCTAAATCAGAGGGCATGATCTTATGTGATTAGTCGTTGAACAGGGTGACTACGCTAAAACCCTTGGTCACGATTACACGAGATGTCCACGACTTCAGGACCATATCATCTCCCTAGTTTCACGCGAAAGTTTTGGGTCGAGCCGTGGGTATGACTTTTAGGAAATTCCTAACAGTGCCACACGCCGAGATCGACCCTTCACGCCTATATTTTAAAAATGTCACAGCCTTGATAAATCGGCTATGGAGAGATTGTCACGGCCACCGACTTCACCCGAAGAGTTTTCCAGAATCAGGCTCGTATCTCACTATATGTAAAGGAGGTGAATTATTGATATCATCGGACTGTGGAAACGATCTCTATATACGCCATCGTTGGTATGTGCCTCAAAATAATACCACGATTTGATCTTAATCTGCAAGCGGAATTGATTTTCAAGCATAGAAATAATATGACCTGGCAACCAATGTTTTGCTGAGAGTCAACTTTTACTTCTTAGCTAATTCTGGGTTGGTTTTACGGTATATCAACCGATTGTGTCATTTAATGCCGAAATTGTGTGGGTTTTTTTTTCTATAAAATAAACCATTGTCTTTAAAAAAATCAGCAAATTATTTTAAATAGTAAGATTGCTGTTATTTATTTTTTTGCAATTATATTTTTGAAATCACTATTTACATTATTCGGACTTTCATCCTTGTGACCATATTTTATTACAATGTTGTACGTGCCGACCTTCTTCCTGTGGTTGGAATGACGAACTGAACCTTTTATTTCGCTCACTGAAATTTTCAAAATTTTAATTCTTTAAAACGGTACAATTATCCATATGTGTGCCTTCTGTGTCGTTGATTTGAATTAAAAAATTATGATCTTTTTTGTTTTTGTTTAAGATTTTAAAATTTTTTTTCTTGTGATCCATTAAACATGGCACGTGGAGAAACAATGATAAAAAAATTTCAATATTAAACGATAATAAGTATTTAATAACAAAATCCATTAGGCAAATAACGCATGAGAAGAAATAAAAAAGGTCTTCCTGTTTATGAAATTTTTGGATGAATTAAAAATAATCATTTCATATTCTCAAAAACAGTTTCGTGAATTTTTGATGTGAATGAAGATTTTTTGAATTTTTAAAATTAAAGATTCGTATAGTCCGAATAATGCTGGTGTATTTACCATTATATCTCATTTAACTTTCTGGGAATTTTAAACGCTTATTTTCTCCGAATATTTTCTCAACATAAGAAATATTATTTATTTAGAATTTTCTTGAAAATAGTTTAAACTTTCAATAAAAGTTTTTTTAAATATTCAAATGAAATGAGTATTAAAAAATCGAAAGATTTTTAATAAAAAAACATTCTCGATTTCAAAATATTGGAAGAAGAAGGGCGTCTGATAAAAAATTAGAAAAATTTCCTTTCAAAGATACTTCTCTAGAAAAATGTAGATATTTATAATGAAATTTTCATAAATTTTTCACTATCCTTAAATTGGTTTTTTCATTACCTGATGGAAAAAATTAGCAAATGTTTTTTTTCAAAAATTTAATGAAAATCGGAAATTTTTTGATTTTTATTTTTTAAAATATTTATTAATAAAGTAATCGATTTCTATTTTTTCCTCAGATTAGGTCATTTGCAGTGGTGTGCAGTAATATGAATCTATTTTTTCGGGGTGTATGATGAAATTTATTTGGCCTTGAAAAATATTTCATCATCCGTGATTGAATCAGATTTCCATCACAGCCGGACACTATTGTCTAGACTGTCGATTAGTTGTCCTACGGCCATTGTCTGCGATGGACGTTATTCCAAGGAAGCGTGCGAAAATTGTAACGCTGCACGAACACACTGGGAAGCCTTACCAGTGAGCAAATCAAAAAACTTGACTGGCACGGAAACTCTTTTGAATGAAATCCAATCGAGAATCTGTGGTCAATCTGCAAGGAACGACTTCGTGGAATGGACATACGAAGTACTAACATGTGCACTGGGTCATGTTTCATTGGAAAAATACGAAAAAAAAAAAATAATAACGGAATTATTCGTTTTGTTTTCAATTAATTTGCACAAATATTTTAATGTATTAAACAACGTATAATTATTAATATTTTATATATATAAATATTTTATAAATGATGATATTTCATATATAATTAAATTGCAACCCGATTTCGTTTATATTTTAAATTCTTTTTTTCTTTTAATTTAATCTTTTTTTTTTCATTTAAAATTATAAAATGAATGTTTGTTTTTTTATCTTAATTTTTTTTCAATTTTTTTAAAACATTGTTATTTTTTGGATGTTTTACATGGAAAAAAAAAAAAAGAAATTTTTAAACTTTATTTATATTTTTATAAACGTTTCATATTTCTAAATGGAAATTATAAATTATTAAAACAAATGTTTTAACAATTTCATTTTGGAATAACGCATCTATATCTTTTCATCAGAATTTTTTTTATTTGTTTTATATAAATTTGTTGAATTCAAACATTCTCAAACAAACAAAAATAAATCCAAATTTTAATTTAGATTTAATTAAAAAAATAAATTGGAGTTAAATTTTCAACAATAATTTCATTTTGTTTTAAAACAGATAATAAATAACTCATTTTGTTTATGAGAATTTTTTGTTTTGATATCTCCATTGTCTTTTTTCA